ATATTTTAGAGCAAATCACCGATCAACTCCGTCCGTTTTTCTTATCTAATATAAAAGTGAGTATTTTTGTCTTCAATAATTAAAATCACACCTGCAAGAAAATGAAAAGTTCATGAAGACAATGGGTCAATTTTCACGCACAGATAGCTTACCGTTTTGAAGACAGGAGCTTACACTGTACCATGATCAGCAAATCTAACCTTCCAAAGGGATGACCGTGTTGAAGCCTAACGTTACATGTGAAACAGATTAAAATGTTTCATTTTACTTCTTATCTCAATTAGATATTGTAAATTCTGACATTTTCAGATTATCTGATCATTTGGTTAACTTGTGTTAGGTAAAATGTTTGCCTTATTTGGATCAAATAACAGGAGAGGATAGCAATGGAAAACCTAATGGTAGAGGCCATAATAACTTTCGTAGAGAGAGCCTTTTTTGTTGCCGTGTTCCTGCTAAAGTCAGATCGCGCTCAGAAAGCCATTGAGGTGTGCAGCGAATGCTTGATTTTGCTAAACAACACCAACCAGAACATCAAAGACCAATTTATTTCACTACGCTATGGCGCTATCTATGACGTTCTTTTCCGCGCTTATCGTCATATCTCTGACTACATAAATGCGGAAAGATACGGAAGGAGACTACTTGTCCTATACAACGAGTCTGGTGACTTACTACGAGAAGGATACATAAGCATAGCTCTAGCAGAGATAGCTGAGGGTCAAAACAGGTTAGCAGAGGCCAAAAAACTTTATGAAAAAGGATTAAATACATTGAGACAAACTGGTGAACAAATTGGAGAAGTAAACGCCTGTATAAGACTCGGAAATATCTGTCATAAACTTGGCGAAAACCTTAAAGCAAAAAAGTATTTTGAGAGAGCTCTTGTCATCATAAATGGAATTGGCGACAGAAATAAAGAGGCAACATGCTATGGAAACCTAGGAACAGTGTGTGAGTCGCTCGGGCAATACGACAGGGCAAAAGAGTATCTCGAAAAAGCGCTTGTCATCATAACTAAAATTGGCGACAGAAATGCAGAGGCAACGTGCTACGGAAACCTAGGAGCTGTGTGTCAGTCGCTCGGGCAATACGACAGCGCAAAAGAGCATCTTGAAAAAGCGCTTGTCATCAGAACTGAAATTGGCGACAGAAATGGAGCGGCAACTTGTTATGGAAACCTAGGAACAGTGTGTGAGTCGCTCGGGCAGTACGACAGGGCAAAGGAGTATCTCGAAAAAGCGCTTGTCATCATAACTAAAATTGGCGACAGAAATGCAGAGGCAACGTGCTACGGAAACCTAGGAGCTGTGTGTCAGTTGCTCGGGCAATACGACAGGGCAAAAGAGCATCTTGAAAAAGCGCTTGTTATCACAACTGAGATTGGCGACAGAAATGGAGAAGCAGCTTGCCACGGGAACTTAGGAAATGTGTATGAGTCGCTCAAGCAATATGACAGGGCAAAAGAGCATCTCGAAAAAGCGCTTGTTATCACAACTGAGATTGGCGACAGAAATGCAGAAGCAGCTTCCCACGGGAACTTAGGAACTGTGTATCAGTCGCTCAAGCAATATGACAGGGCAAAAGAGCATCTCGAAAAAGCGCTTGTTATCACAACTGAAATTGGCGACAGAAATGGAGAGGCAAATTGCTACGGAAATCTAGGAACTCTGTGTCAGTTGCTCGGAAAATATGACAGGGCAAATGAGTATCTCGAAAAAGCGCTTGTTATCACAACTGAAATTGGCGACAGAAATGGAGAGGCAAATTGCTACGGAAATCTAGGAACTCTGTGTCAGTTGCTCGGAAAATATGACAGGGCAAAAGAGTATCTCGAAAAAGCGCTTGTCATCACAACTGAAATTGGCGACAGAAATGGAGAGGCAAG